CGTGCCCCCCTCCTTCCCAACCCACAGATGTAAGACGTGCGGAGAATACATCTACAAGGGCAAGAAGTTCAACGCTCGCAAAGAAACCGTGCAGAATGAGGTGTACCTGGGCCTGCCCATCTTCCGCTTCTACATCAAGTGCACGCGCTGCCTGGCGGAGATCACCTTCAAGGTCGGGTGCCCTGTGTCCCCCGCCTTCCTTGGATAGGGTCAGCCCCTGGAGGTTACCTGCCAGTGTCCTCCAGTGCAAGGAAAATCCCATTTCATCTGTCACAAGGAAATAGATTGATTTTGTTTGCTGCACTGTTATTTATAAAGGCGAAAGGCTAGGAGAACCCACATTCACAGTAAAAGGGGTCTAGATAAATTATGATACAGCGGAATATTGTATAAAAGTCAGCTTTGCTTTTTTTAAAAATTGAGGCAAAATTGACTTAAAATACAGTAAAACATGACGTCTTCATTGGGCAGTCCCAGGTGGCACAGTCAGTCATCACTGACTCCTAACTCAAAGGTTAGTGGTTCAAAAGCAGCCAGTAGCGCGGTGGAAGAAAGGCCTGGCCATATGCTGTAACAGTCACGAGAAAGGCTGGGAGCAGAGCTGCGCCTGTGCCGGGGGTGCCGTGGGCTGTGGGCTGGGCCCGGTCGCAGTTCCGTGGGCCAGGTCGGCGCAGGCAGCAGGCTTGCTCGGCTTTGTTTAGACACCTCAGCGGAGAGTGTTTGCGTGAATTTCCAGGGTACAGCTGCCACCCGCGTCAGGGCCAGGTCCCCTCTGTCGCTCTGGGAGATACCCCTGCCACAGTCACTGCTTTCTGCTCCTCCCTGGCTCCTGGCAGCCATCAGTCTATTTGCCTGGATACGAAATTCAAAGCAAAGGTTTTTCTTTCTTTTTCTTGTAGCTGAAAGGATGAGGGAAAGGGCAGGAGGCAAAGTGCTCCGTGGTGGGAGGCCTGGCACCGTGGAGGAGCAGAAGTGCCCAGGGCGGGGCGTGCAGGGAGGGCGGCGGGGAAGGGTCTTCAGGCTCGAGCTGAGGCGGTGGGCTTTCTGCAGAAGGGAGGGGAGGCCCAGGAAGGAAGAGCCCTCTGTGCCAGAGCATCAAGCCAACGGTGAAGGTGTGGTCGCGACGAGTCTGACTCCAGCTACCTTCCAGGGCCTTGTCAGCCTGCCCCATAGAGTCCTGCCGCCAGGCAGATGGCCACATCTCTTTCCCGTGGAGCTGACCTAGTACTTAACTGCTGTGCCACCAGGGCTCCTACCCAAAGTGACAAGAAAAGGAAAAGAGACCAACAGAAGGGTTTATGGAGGGCGGGGAGATGCCCCAGTCTGCAGTACGCAGAGGTGTGGGACCCTCACAGCCTGTTCCCCCCGCCAGACCGACCCTGAGAACACAGACTACACCATGGAGCACGGAGCCACACGCAACTTCCAGGCGGAGAAGCTCCTGGAGGAAGAGGAGAAGCGGGTGCAGAAGGAGCGGGAGGATGAAGAGCTCAACAACCCCATGAAGGTGAGCGGGGTGCTGGGTGCGCACGCTGGGGCGTGGGTGCGCACAGGAGGCGAGCTGGGCTCTGGTTGCGCACCCCAGTGCCTGGGTGCCCACGTGCACATGCGCCTTTACCAGCAAGCTGGGCTTGAAGCTCCACCAAATGCTCATCATGACCTGCCCTCTGGGCACACCAAGTCCCGTGTCCCCATCTCATTCCCCACCTCGAGCCCCTGTCCCCGCCGCCATCCCTGCACTGAGCCCCTTGCCCTCATCCTGACGACCCCAGGTGCTGGAGAACCGCACCAAGGACTCGAAGCTGGAGATGGAGGTGCTGGAGAACCTGCAGGAGCTCAAGGACCTGAACCAGCGGCAGGCGCACGTGGACTTCGAGGCCATGCTGCGTCAGCACCGCCTGTCGGAGGAGGAGCGGCGGCAGCGGGAGCAGGAGGAGGACGAGCGGGAAGCGGCGTGAGTGACGGCGGGCTGCCGGTGCCCCTGGACTGTTGGTCAGCCCCGGGCTGCTGTCCACTAGCCTGCTGTCTTGTACCCCATGCATGTCTTGTCTCTCAGACATGTCTCTCTATCTCCTGTGTGTCTCTGTCCCCGATTCGTGTCTCTCTGCCCTCTGTGCATGTCTCCATCCTCCATGCGTGTCTCCGTTCCCTTGTGTTTTTGTCAGTCCCCGTGCGTGTCTCTGTCCCCATATGTACCTCTATCCCCCATGTGTCTCTTCGTCCCGCATGCATGTCTCCATTCCCTTGTGTGTCTCTCCGTCCCCCATGCGTGTCTCCGTTCCCTTGCATGTCTGTCAGTCCCCGTGCATGTCTCTGTCTGTCCCCGTGCGTGTCTTCATCCCCCATGCGTGTCTCCATTCCCTTGTGTTTTTGTCAGTCCCCGTGCGTCTCTGTCTGTCCCCATGTGTACCTCCATCCCCCAGGTGTCTCTCCATTCCCCATGCGTGTCTCCATTCCCTTGTGTGTCTCTCCGTCCCCCGTGCGTGTCTCCATTCCCTTGTGTTTTTGTCAGTCCCTGTGCATGTCTCTGTCTGTCCCCGTGCGTGTCTTCATCCTCCATGCGTGTCTCTATTCCCTTGTGTGTCTGTCAGTCTCCATGCGTGTCTCTGTCTGTCCCCATGCATGTCTCCATTCCCCATGCGTGTCCCTGTTTCCTTGTGTGTTTGTCAGTCCCCGTGCGTGTCTCTGTCCCCATGCGTGTCTCCATTCCCCATGTGTCACTCCGTCCCCATGCGTGTCTCCATTCCCTTGCGTGTCTGTCCGTCCCCGTGCGTGTCTCCATCCCTCATGCATGTCTCGGTCTCTCTGTATATTTGTCTGCTCTGCTCTCTCTGACTCGGGAGTGGTTAGATCTAGGCCCCCATCACTGTCGTCATGAACTTCACAACAAAAAACTCCACTTCCTGCCTCCAAATGGGGCTCCGTTCACAGGTGCAGGAATGAGGGTCACTGTGCATGTTCTAGGGGACGCATTTAGTCCAGAAAAGTCCCACTCACAAGGGCACGCCTTCCTTTCTCGTGGCATCTGGGCCGGGACCAGCGCTGTGCCAGGTCTGCTGACTCACTGGGTAGACTTAGCAAGGGGCTGGCCTCGGGACTGTGAGAGGACAGGGCACAGAGGACACACCAGCGAGGCAGACAGATTCGGTGTGGCATGCTGGGTGCCAGCTCCAGCACTCTGCATCCTCGCCCAGCGGGACACCAGAGTCCACGCACCATGTCGGAGGACGCTGTGCTCCACAGAACTTTCTTCCCATAGATTACTTAATTTATTACACATTTGAATGTTAACGTCTTGTGACCCAAGTTACACTTCACAGAGTAGGATGGCTTTCCCGTCAACAGTCAGCCATCCTGTTTCCTCCCAGTGATACCGTTTCTGTTAGTCCTTTCCTATCTTTTCCTGCTTTTGGGCCTTTGTCTTTGGACACAGAGTTTCATTTTAATTGAAATAGCTTACTGTGTCTCTCTGGAGACTAAGGTGTGTCTGATACAGGCCATGGTCTTTGCTATCACTTGTTATGCATCAGAGAGTTGGACACTGAGGAGGATAGAAGGAGAATTGATGCCTTTGAGCTGTGGTGCTGGAGAAGAGTATTGAGGGTACCATGGACTGCTAGGAAAACAAACAGATTCATCCTGGAAAGGGTCAAACTGGCTCCTTGGAGGCAAGGATTCTGAGGCTCCGTCTAACATACTTTGGACATGTTGTGAGGAGAGACCGGTCCTTGGAGAAGGACATCATGCTTGGGAGGGTGGAGGGACAGCACAGGAGGGGAAGACCCTCTATGAGGTGGATTGATTCAGTGACTGGGGTAATCAGGATGGGAGTGTCAGAGACGGTGCGATTGCCCCAGGACAGAGCAGAGTTTAGAGCTGTTGTACATAGGGTCGCTATGAGTCACAAGCGACTCGATGGCACATAACAACAGCAACTGTGTTTTATGGGCAATATATTGAATGACCCAGAAAGCATCAAAAGAAGATGGAGGGAATACACGAATCACTGTACCCAGAAGAACTGGCTGACACTGAAAAATTTCAGGAGGTGCTGTATGAGCAGGAGCCTGTGGCAACGGAGGAGGAAGTGGAAGCTGCACTGAAGGCATTGGCAAAAAGTGAGGCCCCAGGAATCGATGGAATACCAGTCGACTTGTTTCAGTTAACAGATACAGCCTTAGACGCGCTCACCAGTCTAAGCCAGGAAATTTGGAGGGCCGTTGTCTGGCCAGTAAATTGGAAGAGGTCCATATTTGCTTCCTTTCAAAGAAAGGTGATCCAACAGAATGCGGAAACTATTGAACAATATCATTAATATCACATAAAAGCAAAATACTGCAGAAGATCATTCAAAACCAGCTAGAACTGTACATAGATAGGGAACTGCCAGAAGTTCAAGCAGGATTTAGAAGAGGCCGTGGCACCAGGGATATCATTGCTGATGTCAGATGGATCCTGGCTGAAAGTAAAGAATGCTAGAAGAATGTCTACTTGTCCTTTATTGACTGTGCAAAGACAGTGTGGATTATAACACATTGTGACTGACATTGAGAAGAATGGCATTCCAGAGCACTTAACTGTGCTTGTGTAAAACCTAATACCTGGACCAGGAGGCCGTTGTGAACACTGCATGGTTTAAAAATTGAAGTGAGTGCGTCAGGGTAGTATTCTCTCTTCATGCCTATTCAATCTATATGCTGAGCAAAATAGTCAGGAAGCTGGACTCTGAACAGGAACGTGGCATCAGGATCAGAGATCGTCGAAGATCAGGATCGTCAATAGCCTGTGTTACTAGGTGACACAACCTTGTTTGCTGAAAGTAAACATTTGAAGCACTTGTTGCAAAAGATCAAGGAATGCAGCCTTCAATATGGATTGCATCTTAATATTAAGAAAAATATTATTTTTTTTTAAGTGTAATTTCCATTTTATTTTCAGACGAGTTTTTTCTTCAGCCTTTTAAGGAATCAAATCCTTACATGGGCTTTGGTGGTGGTCGTGGGGCAGCACCTGCAGGTCTAAATCCAGCTGGAGGTGTCCGGTCCTTTCAGGCTTCACGAGAACGGTTCCTCACCACCTTGCTGTGAATGGCACAACTCACACAGTAGTGCAGTTTCACATAGAGCTTTGGAAACACATAGGCATCAAAAACACTCGCTTCAGAAATGTCCCTGACAGCAGCTGCCTCTACTATATTTCAGACTACGAACTACTTCTTTTTTTTTTTTTCCGAACTTCTTAATTGCCTTGTCTTTGGGCACCCACCGGGTGCAGTTCGTGCAGCGAATAGGCTGCACGTGGCCACGGCCCTTTTTGGCACGACCATTGTTTCTCCTTTTCTTCGTCACGCACCACCAGTACTCAAGAAAAACATTTTTACCAATAGCAACATTGTCTGATGGATGGAGAAGAGATTGAAACTGTCAACAATTTCATCTTACTTGGATCCACAGTTAACACCTCTGGAGTTAACACCAGCAGTCAGGAAATCAGAAGACACATTGCACTGGGAAAGTCTGCAGTTAGGGACCTCTCCAGATTATTGAGGAGAAATGATGTCATTTTGAGGACTAAGGTGTGTCGGATTCAGGCCATGGTCTTCTCAGTCACCTGCTGTGCATCTGAGAGCTAGACAATGAATAGGGATGACAGAAAAAACAATTTATGCTCCTGTGGTGTTGGAGAAGAGTACTTGAACATCCCATGAACTGCTAAATGAAAAAACAAGTATGTCAGGGAGAAGGTGCAGCCAGAGTGCTCTGTGGAGGATGGTCACCGGGGGCTGTGCATGGCCCCTCAGCCTGGCATGTCTCAGAGTTCCTGACCCCTGCAGGAAAGCCAGTGTCCAGCATAAGCCATGTGGGCACACAGCTGGGGGCCACTGCTGACCACTTAGAGAGCAATGGAAACAAACAAACTCGCGTTTCTGGACAGTGGCCCAGGGCTGGCTTTGTGCACAAGCCTCACTGCATCCACTGTCAGCCTGTTTTGCATCTTTAATTTTCTGAGGTCCACAGATAGTTTAATGGCTCAAGCAAAGGTTGGTGGTCTGGTACTGAGGAATAAAGGCCTGGCAGTCTGTTTCCATAAGGAGCCGCCTGCTCTGTAATAATGTGAAGTCACCACGGAGGGAATGGACTCGTCAGCAGTGGGTTATTACTTTCCAGAAGCTTCTTAGTGCTCTTTTCCTTGTCTGATGTACCGTTGGTCCCTCTCTTTGTTGACTGTCTTTGAGAATGCACCTTTGCCGACCTCTGCTGACAGCATGGTGGGCCCCAGGTGGGCACCGTTTGGTCTTTCTCAGCATCACCTTAGCCCCAGAGTTCTAGGACAGGTAGGGGGGCCAAGGTCCTTGAGCTCCCCTGACGCCCCAGATCCAGATGGGCAGGACCCAGGTCCGGATGGACAGGCCTCTGCGTGCAGATGGTGGAGCACTCTGAAAGAAAAGTGAAAAGAAGTTGGAGAATCTGAGACACCACCCCTCGCATGCCAGGGCACCCCAGCCCCTTGCCCCCCGTCACGGTGAGGGGTAAAGCGCCAGCTTCTGCAGGACATATCCCCACCCCTATGCTCTGTCCCTGTCGGGCCCTGGGGGACAGTTAGTGTTGTCCCACAGCCATGTTTTGTCCACACACCCATGCTCTGTCCCCTCACCCATGTTCTGCCCCCACAGGGCCCTGGAGGAAGCAGTACTGTTCTGCAGGTGTGACCCCAGCCCCATCCCATACTGTCCCCCCAGGGCTCTGGGATACAGTTACTATTGTCCCCACACCATGTTCTGTCCCCTCACCCATGCTGTTCCCACAGGGCCCTGGTGGACGAAGCCAGGAAACAGCGGCTGCTAGAGGACTCCGACTCAGAGGACGAGGCTGCTCCTGCCCCGCGTCGGCCGGCCCCCCGGCCCAACCCCACTGCCATCCTGGAGGAGGTAGGCAGGGCCCGAGTCACCCTGTGTGTGTTTCGGGGGCCGGGAGGGGGGCTGTGAGTCCCAAAGATTTCCAAAAGAGCCGTGAGTGTAGCACGTGCATCCACGTGAGTGGAAGCCTTGACAGCATCCATCCTCTCTGTCCACCCCGGTGTTGCCTGCTGTCCGGTGCGGAGGACCTCTGACGGGCGGTCTTGTCATAGTGAGGGCTGTAGTCTCTGATCTTCTTCAGGAAACACTGCAAGTCCTCGTCCCTGTCGGCAGGCTAGGTGGTGCCGTCGTCTGCCTGTCAGAGCTGTAGTGATCATACCGGTCTTTAATTGAAGGCGCTGTGGTGGTGGTGTCATGTGTAAGCACCGAGGCACTAACTGAGAGGTTGGCAGTTTGAACCCATCCAGTGGCCCTTGGTCAGCGGCTGCAGTAACGGAGGCATGCTGCAGACCCTCGGCGGCCACTCCACTCTGCCACACGTGGGCTGCGGGGCAGTACCCCTCCGCTGGCCACGTCTATTGGTTAGATCGTCGCCGGAGCACGTCCATCTGCAGCAGACTAGGAAGTGCAGTCTGCAGCGGAGGCAGCCATGGTCCAGCTCAGAGCTCTGTCCTCGTGGGGACAGCGGCCAGGGCAGAGGCCTTGAGTGCCAGGCTTAGGGCGATAGGGAGCTATCGAGGAATGGAGAGCAGGGGAGGCCGGGCTGGAAAGGTCTTCCCACTGGCCCAGCAGGGGTCTTGTGAGCCAAGAGTCTCCCAGGAGAGTGGGTAAGGACTGACCACACCCTGTGTCCCCTCGTCACCTGCAGGCCCCAAAGGCCAAGAGGAGAGTGGAGAGCTGGGAGCGGAGCGTGGGCACCATGAGCAGCAGGTCTCAACTAGCGGGCCTGGTGGTGAGGAAGACTGGAGTGGACAGTGCTGCCCAGCAGGACCAGAAGGCGCCAGCTCCCGGTGAGTGAGTGCCCCAGCTGACCGCTGGGGGCAGCAGCACCCTCTGCTTTCTGGGGCCTGCATTGGGGGTGGGCTTGTACCTCCCCTCCCTGGGGCCGTTCTGGACAGATAACAGGAGGAGGAAGGAGGCCAGGGCAGAGGTGATGAAGCACTGGGCAGCACTCAAAGGTTCAAGGCCATGGCCACTCTGTGGGCAAAGAGACCTGGCCATCTTATCCCAGAGGGATGGCAGGGACCTGGGAGTCACCAAGGATTGGAATCAACAAGAAAAAGAAGGCTGGCATTTTGGATTTGACCTTGTATTTCTTTTTTTAATTTTTATTTATTAATTCTTTTATTTGTTTTATGTGTGTACCGTCAAATTGGATCTGACTGGTACAGGAGGCGATTGTTCCTCCTTCTTCAGCAGAGCGTCTGGTGGATTTGAACCGTGCACCTCTGGGATTGCAGTGCAGTTTCCTGCCACTAGGCCACCAGAGCTCGCCATTGACCTTGTATTTCAGTTACACGTTTGAAGAAAGCCAAGTTGCCTAGGTCAGAGCTCACTCTTCTTCACCCTCAGGTGCCCCAGCCAACGGGAAGGCGGCTGACCCTGCTCCCCAGCCCGCCGGCGTCTCCTCCCTGAGCCAGCTGGGCGCCTACTCGGACAGCGAGGACAGCAGCTCGAGCAGCTGAGCCCGTGGGCCCTGCTGGTCTCAGGACCCTGTGCAGCTCCATCCATGTTGGCTGGACCAGGCCAGGAACATCCTTCCAGGACCTGGCTTCTCCTCTGCCCCCTTCTGTGACCTCGGGGACCCCAGCACAGTGACCAGGGGTTGGCCTTTCCAGATCACCTCTCAGCCTCCACCGGGCCACCCAGGACCTACTCGGACCATCTCTGGGGTGAAGGCCAGTGTTGGGCAAGTGGCTGAACCCGACCACCCCGTCGCCTCCGTCCTTCCACCCACAGGAACACATGTGCTGCTGCTGAAATGGAGTGAGTCTTGGGGGCATCCTCTCAGTAGTAAGACCAGCCAGTGAGCCCTGACTCCCCAGGACCCCACCCGGGTCAAGAGTCCTGTGTTCCTCTCAACAGCAAGAGGACAGTAACCCTCACCACTGAGCTGATAAGCAACATCAGGACAGAAAGCGAAAAGATTGAAATTGTTAACGATTTTGTTTTATTGGGATGCACAGTCAACACCCATGGCACCAGCAACTAAGACAGCAAAAGATGGATTGCATTGGGAAAGTGTGTTCTCAGGGACTTCTTAAAAGTACTGGGGAGCAGTGATATCGGTTTAAAGACTAAGGCCCCCCTGATTCAGGCCATGGCATTTTAAATTACTAGTTATGCGTCTGAGAGCTGGACAATAAAGATGATAGGAGGGGGAAAAGGAAAAGTCCTGTGTTCCAGAGATTTTCAGGCTGACCTAAGAATGGATGGCCAGGCCTTTCTTCCATCCCTCTAGGTGGCCTTGCAGCCCCAGACTCTTGGTGATGGCTAAGTGCATTTGCATCATCCCAGGACCAGAGGCTTGTGGGATGGCACAAAGACGGCCAGGTCCCTCTGGTGTCTGGCAGGCTCCGGGTTCACTGTGAGCAGGATAGAAAAACCTGGGGCGGTGTCTTGTGGAGCTCCCATTCTAACAAAGAGAGAGGCACAGTAAACAGGACGGTGAGTGAACTAGACAGTCTGTTGTTGCCTCGGCGATCCTACACACATCCAAGGACACACAAGCCACCGTGGTCACACAGCAGACCACTGGGCTCCAGAGGGGTTTGGTGGGTGATTTTTAGCAGTCAGTTGCCAGGCTTTTCTTGCTGTTCTTAGTCTAGAAGCACCACTGAAACCCTTTCAGCATCTCAGCAATCTGCAAGCCTTGAGCCTCGGACCTGGTCTCCACGCGGAGGAAGAGGATGTCACCACTGAGCCCCCAGAATCCCAAGCCCACCGTGGGCTCTTGTTGACTGTGTCAGGGCTTCAAGGATGCAAACCTTGATAAGCTGAGGCAGGCCACCTGTCTCCTACAGAGGCAGGGCGGGGATTCGAACCCTCACCTGTCTGTTGGTAGTCTGGCCCCTGGAATTGTTTTCACCTCTGATATCCCTGCAGGTTTTGTTCCGCCTTCGGCCCCAGTTCCCACTGAGAAAGACACCCCACGCTAGGTCTCTGCCAGCTCAGCCTGCTGCCCTGCGCTGCCCCCTTCCTGGGCATCCCCTCTGGGGACTGCCCTCCCCCTCACTGATCCCAGCGTGCGCTCCGTCCTCACTCTGTGGAGCTGTCCCGCATCTGGAATCGCCATCAACTCAACTCTCCCGTGACCACCTGGTCGACAGAGCGCATCAGAGTTGGAAGGTGGGGCGCCTGCCCTCCCAGCGTGAGGCTGAGTGAGCCTTGCTTCACAAAGGAAGGAGAGATACTTCAGCTTTCCAAGGCCAGCGGCCGGTGGGCCTGGCGCAGACACGCCCCGTTTGCCGGTCCTCCCGCGGGAGGTGGGGGCGCCAGGCCTTTTCCCTGGATGCAGGTCTGGACCCCGCATCACCCCAGGCCTTCGTTCTCCGGTGGCGTTACACAACCACACGTGAGTGGCTGTAAAACGCAGACATTTCTCAGCTCAGGAAGCTGGTGGTGGGTTCAGGCCGCAGCTCCCGGGCGGGCCAGCTCTGCAGGAAGGTCCTGTCTCCACTGAACTCCTGGGTGATCTTCATGCAACTTGGCATCTCCTCCTTCTTTCTGGTCACTGGTTCGTTTAATCTCTTTTCTATCTCAGAAGAGATTGACTCAGAATCTGCCCTACACTAATCCTGTCTCATTAACATCACAAAGACAGCCCTTTCCCAAAGGGCATCTTGCCAGCAAGCAGAGAGGTCAGGATTTACAGGATATGTTTCTAACACTGCGAGCTGGGGGAGCAGAGTAGGGAGCTTGGGGCGGTGAGGCAGGGCCCGTGAGGGACCTTGGTGGACAGGCCATGTCTCCTCCATCAGGTGGGGAGTTTCTGAGGCAGGACCAGGTCTTCCTCCACCAGACTGGAGCTAAGGAAGGCAGAGATGAGTCTGGGGGCTTCTGAGAGCGGTTCTCTCCCCCCTTAGAACAGGAGCCCCAGAGGCAGGGCCATGAGACCACCAGATCTCTCCCACTCCTTTTCCTGGTATCTTAGCTGCCATGCCATCCCCCCATTTCCCTCCAGACATAGGAAACTGGGGGGGGGGGGGGAACTGCTGACCCAGACACAGACAGCCCCTCCCAGGGACCCCTCCCTGGCCTCTTCCCGAGGGTCCTCCATGCTCAGCATATCCACAGAATCTGTACCAGAATTGGTTGACATGGAAAAAATTTCTGGAAGTGCCATATCAGTAAGAGCCAATGGTAATGAAAGATGACGTTCAAGCATCACTGAAGGCATGGGTGAAAAATAAGGCCCCAGGGGTTGATGGAATACCAGCGGACATGTTTGAACCAACAGAAGCAGCCTTGGATGCACTCACCAGTCTACAGCAGGAAATTTGGAGGACAGCTGTCTGGCCAACCGATGTGTCCCCGTTCCCAAGAAAGATGATGCAATAGAATGTGGAAATTATCAAACAATACTGGTCCTTGGAGAGGGACATCATGTTTGGGAGAGTAGAGGGACAGCGCAGGAGAGGAAGACCCTCAATGAGATGGATCGATTCTGTGAGTGGGGTGGTGGGAATGAATGTGGTTGAGGCAGCGAGGTTGGCACAGGATAGAACGGCGTTTAGGGTTTTGTACATAGGGTCGCTATGAGTCACAAGCGACTCGATGGCACATAACAACAACAACATCATTAATATATCATGCAAGCAAAATATTGTTGAAAATCATTTAAAAAATCGCTAGAACAGTGCATTGGCAACCGGAAGAACAAGCTGGTTTAGAAGCAGCCACAGCATGAGGGATATCACTGCAGATGTCAGGTGGATGCTGGCTAAAAGCAGAGAATACCAGAGAGAGGTTAACTTGGGCTTTATTGCTTATGCAAAGGTGTTTGACTCTGTGGATCATAACAAATTATGGCTCACATTGAGAAGAACTGGAATCCCAGAACACTTAATTGTGCTCATGCAGAATCTATACCTAGATCTAGAAGCTGTTGCGTGAACGGAGCAAGGGAACACCGCATGGTTTAAAATAAAAAGGGTGTGTTTCAGGATTGTATCCTTTCTCCATACCTATTCAACCTGTATGCTGAGCAAATAATTCATGAAGTCAGACCCTATGAAGAGGAGTGTGGTGCTAGAATGGGAGGAATACTCATCCGCAACCTGTATCATGCTAATGACAAATTTACTTGCTGAAAGTGAGGAGAATATGGAAGCACTTGCTGCAGAAGATCAAGGACTACAGCCTTCGGTGTGGATTACATCTCAACACCAAGAAGACAAAGGTCCTCACCACACAGCCAACAGTCAACATTACGGTAGATGGAGAAAAGATTGACGTTGTCTGTGATTTCATCTTGTGTGAATCAACAACTCCTTTGATACCAGTGGTTAGGAAATCAAGAGACGAATTAATCGGGCAATTCTGCTGCCAGGAACCCCTCCAAAATCCTGAAGAGAATGACTTCCGTTTGAAGATTAAGGTGCCCCTGATTGAGGCCACGGTCTTCTCCGTCCCCTGCTCTGCATCAGAGAGCTGGGCAAGGACCAAGGATGACAGAGAAGAATCGATGCCTTTGGGCTGTGGTGCTGGAGAAGAGCACTGACTATTCTGTGGACTGCAGGAAGAACAAACAAGTGTGTCTTGGAAAGAGTGTGTCCAGAGTGCTTGCTTCTTGGAGCCAAAGATGATGAAACTTTGTCTTTTATACTTTGGACATGTAGCCAGGTGAGGCTATCCTTGGAAAGGGGCATCATGCTTGGAAATCTGGAGGGTCAGCAAAGGAGAGGAAGACCCTCAATGAGATGGACTGGCAGAGTGACTACAGCCGTGGGCTCTGGTGTGTCAGGGATGAGGATGGCACGGGACAGGGCCGGGTTCAGGCTTGCTGTTCACCCACGGTTTGTGATAGTGAAGACAGTGGGTGCTGAAACCAGTCACTCAGGTTCAAGTTCTGGTTCTGGCACTTGGACAAGTGACTAAGCCTCAGTGGTCTCATCTGAGAAGTGGGACTTGCACATGAAAGAGCACAATTCTGTTGAGACCCCAGCAGTGCCATCCCCAGGTCTACCTCCCAGAGAATTGAAAGTATCCATTCACTGAAAAACAAATACACAAATAAAACCTGTTTTTAATAATTTTTAAATTTTTTATTGTGTGGTTATAAGAAAGTATCAGTTGTTTGTGTTGTTGTGTACCATAGAGTTGGAACTGACTCTCTGGTGGGTTTTCAGAGGCACTTAATAGGAGGAGATTCTCCATCTTTCTCCTGTGGAGAACCGCAGGCCTTCTGCTTTACAGCACAGCTTCATGCAATAAAACCATTTTTAAAAAAAAGTATACCTTTAATGGCTTTGTGTGTGTGTGTATGTATGTATACACATATATGACACTATTGTGGCCAACTGGTAAGGAATTGCACTGTCATATACATATATGTATAGCTATGTGTAAGCTTGGAAGGACTGGCATCTACTTCCATAATAGCTTGCCTCCGGAAACCCTATGAACCTGGAGAGAGGATGAAAGGCACCCAAGTGTCGAGGACTCTCCTTCATAGGGTCACTATGAGTCGCCTGCGACTCGACGGCACTTAACAACAACATACCTTTAAGGGAGCCCTACTAGCCTAGTGGCAAGAAGCTGCACTGCAAACCCAGAGGTGCGTGGTTCGAATCCACCAGATGCTATGCTGGAGAAGGAGGGACAATCTCTACCAGTAAGATCTGATTTGACAGTACACACACAAAAAATAATAAAACTTTCTACAAAGTATATGTTTAGAAGAAAGTGTGGATACTTTGCAGTGTCGTGCTTCACAGCAGCCCAATAGGTGGAGCCCACCTGGACACTGGGGGGACGTAGAGCGGTCCACCCACACCAGGGAGTGTAAGTCACATAAAGAGGACAATGGTGTTCTTATACGTGGGTCACTGGAGAAGAAGCCAGCACTAAAGGTTGCATGTGTAGGGCCCGGTTATTTGAAGTACCAGAGGAGTAAGGTCCATGGAGGCAGCAGTCATGGTCATGGTCCCAGGGTGGGGACTTTGGAGGAATGAGAAGCACCAGGGTGGTCACTTTTGTCAGCTGCCCTCTGCCAGCTCCCACCGCACTGACCCTGGGCACAGCAGAACCCGCATCGTGCCCAGGATCACTGTGGGTTTTGAGCCATTTGATGTCGGGGTGAAGAGAATGGGGAGAAGGTAGATGGTGATCATTGTACGATCTTGTGAAAATAATCAAAATCAATTACTGAATTGCACACTTTGTAAGGTGTAAGGGAAGAGTTTATGGTTGTGTGAAAAGGAGACAAAAGAGGGATGGAGGAGGGATAGAGAGATGGAGGGGAGGGGGATAGAAGGGTGGAGGGGAGGGGATAGAGGGATGGTGGGGAGGGGATAGAGGATAGAGGGATGGAGGGGGAGTGGAGAGGAGGGGCAGATAGAGGAGGTGCGAGGTAGAGGAAGAAGGAGTTGGGGGGAGGTGGATCTGAGGGGGAAATGAAGGGAAAGGGAGCTGGAGGGGAGGGGAGGAGATAGAAGAGAGGGTGGACTTGAGGGGGTGATGGATCTGGGAGGAGATGGAAGGGAGAGGTAGATGGAGGGAGGACTGCAGGGGGAGGCAGGCGAACAGGTGGGTGAAAGGCAGTGACAAGTTGGGGGGGTCCTGGGCAGAGGGCATGATGGGGCGCAGCTGTTCCCGCACTGCCCCGTCCCCCAGTTGAGAACACCTCCATCATCACTCAGATCAGCACCTGACCTGATGGACCCGCCATCAACCCCCTGAATGCCGTTCTCCACCCCCCACCCCACCCCCGTCCCACTGCGGGAGGCCCTGACAGACTCCCCTTACACAGGGGTCCCCACCCCACCTGGCCCAGGCGCCCGCACCCTCCCCCATCGGCGCTGCATCTAAAAGGTCGTCCCCAAGGTCACCCCAGACCCTCCCCGGCCCCCTGCTCCCCCTCCGCTGCTCCTCGCTGCTCCTCGGTGGGGACCCCAGGAGAAGGCAGCTCAAAAGCGCAGGGAAGTCAAACGCCCGTTTGATTCCGCCTCGGGGGCCCTAATTGCTATTCCTCCCACGGACTGTAATTAGAAGCCCCTTTCAAATATTTATACCGCAGACGCGTGTATTTATCCGACGGGAAGAGGACTCGGTTTGATGAGATCTGTCAACAGCTCATCGCGCTGGGGAATTGCCTGGCGGCTGACAGAGAGCAGGACAATTACCGCCGTGCGCCCCGAGGTCCCCGGGGACGCGCCTGTCGCCGGCGGAGCGCGTGGGGCTGGCGCGGGAGGCACTGTGCGCACGTGGGTCCCCAGAGGGCCGCAGTCAACAGGTCCGCGCGGAGGACCCCGTGGGTGTAGGGAGGGGGTCAGGCGCCGCGCCCTGTCACCTTGGAACCTCAGTTTCCCCTTCTGGGATAGGGGAGGGGAGAACCATTTGATTCCACAAGATTCTTGGTACAAGCCTTGAATGCCGCCCGGACTCTGCTCACGTGATGGTGCTGGATCAAAAAGGACCCGCCCCCTCCCCGCCCTGTGCCTCAGTTTCCCCATCTGCAAAATGGAAGAGTTGGGCTCCAGCTAGGCGGAACGTGGTGATTGATAATTTGCTCCCTTTACTTGGATTCTTTGGTTCACCTTGTGGGGTGCCAGACAGTCCCCTCCGCCTCCCAGCGACGCCCCAGGTGGCAGAGGAGACCTGCCCCCTTTGCGCGAGCAGATCGAGCAGATCGCTGGGTCCTTCACCAGAGGAGTTATTCGGGGCGGGGGGGGGGGGCGAAATTCCAACTGATAGCCCCGTATTAGCAGCCGAACGCTGGCCTGTGGCCACCGGGGCACCTCACTTACCTATCAGAAGCCCCATTTTTCAGATGAGGAAACTGAGGGACCTTTAGTAAGAGGCAGGCCTTAGCGAGCTCTGGTGGCCTAGTGGCAAGAAGCTTCACTGCAATCCCAGAAATGAGCGGTTCAAATCCACCAGATTCTTTGCTGGAGAGGAGGAAAAAATCTCCTCCTGTACCATTCAAATCTGATTTGACGATATACACACACATAAATAATTAAAAAATAATAATAAAATTTTTTAAAAAAAGAGGCAGGCCTCGCCCCCAGGGGACATCCGTGTCACCCTGATTCTGTCGGGAGCTCTCCTCTCCAGATCTTCCCCCAGAGCTGGGAGGAGAAAATCAAGGATGCCATTCTTCTGACCACCTCTCTCCACTCCAAAATTGAGGGGACACAGCAAGTCCCCCCAGAGGGAGAGAAGGGGTAGATTTGCTCCCGAATGACCAGCTGCCCCATCTTCTGCCCTCATCTTCTCAGGGCCGCCCACCTCCACAGCTGCAGCTGCCCACCGGGACCCCACTCTCCATTTCTCCCTCCTCCCCCCTCCCCCAATCCAGAAGTCACAAAGGGACAGATGCCGAGGCCACGCGCCAGGGACAGATACCATCTTCCCTCCCCCATCGCACCCCCCGCCAGCTGCCCCTCTGCCTCGCCAGCCCCCTGGGGAGGGGGAGGAGAGGCTCAAGCGCTCTTGGGGGAGGGGACAGGACACCCCCCCTCCCGCCCTCGCTTCCTCCCAGCTGCGTCAATAATGTCAATGCTGTCAATGTCTGTTCGAGCCAGTGACCTCTCCAACAATTTCCACGTCCTCGTCTCCCGGCCAGTATCGCCGGCGGATCCTGGTTCAATTTCAACCCTCAATAACGGTCAATTTCACCCATTTTCGCGGTCAAGTCCAGCCCCCCATTTCCGGGTCGGTTTCTCTCCCTTCCCTCCGCATCTCCTCCCCCGAGCAAGGTCAATCCTGGCCCGTGTCCACTGCCCGCGCCCTGAGATCGCTGCGGACACCCCGCTTTCCCGGGTCAGTGTCCTCGGCCCCGCGCCCCCTTCCCTCCGCGAGCAGAGGCTCACCAACTCCCCACTCCCCAGTCAGCTGAAGGTCTCGGTCACCTACGAGGGGCGCGGGGGAGGGGGCGGCGGGAGATTTGACGTCGCTGCCCCGACGCGGCCCTTGGAGTCTGGGGCGCCCGCCTGCGCGCCCCCTCCCCAAAGTCCCACCTCCCGGCCGCGCGCCGGCGGCGGCAGCAGCGACAGGGAAAGTGGCTCTGAAAGCGTGAAGGGGGATTGGACGAGGCTTTTATTTCCCTTTGTGCAGGATCGAGGCAGCCGGGCCGGGGGCGGCGGGACTGGGGCTTCCCCCCCAGCGCAACAAAGGCCGAGCTGCGCCGGGGTCGCGCTCCTGCCGCCTAAGTTTGCACTCGGCGCGCGCTCCCCAGGATCCTCCCGCTGCGCTGGGGGACCCAGACGGCCGGGCCGAACCGAGGGGTCAGGGCGCCCCCTGGAAGCGACCCGGCAGCTGCCCAAAGGCGCAGGTGGCCCAGCTGCGCGGGAACCGCTCTGCCCGCGGCAACTCCGGGCGCCTCGGCGGATGTCCCTGTCCCTGTCCCTGTCCGGACGTTCCCGAGCTCGGCGTCCAGGGCCCTGGGGGGTGCCCCTTTCCCCCGTGCGCCTCCCTGAGCCGGGCTAAGGTGGCTATCACTTCTGCTCCGGTTCTCTCCTCCGTCCTCTGCCTCCCTCTCCTTTCTCCCTCTGCGCCCTCGTCCTTCTCCCTATCCGTGCTGAGCCCAGCCGAGGGGCGCACCTGATCACTCCTCCTCCTTCCCTCCTTTTCCTCTCGTCTTCTCCTCCCCCCCCCCGGGGGGGGGCTCTGCCAAAGAAGGGGGCAGGAAGTGGGGATGCAGGTCGCCCTCTGACAGTGGCCAGGTTTGGGGAAGACACGCGCCCTAATGGCCAAGTGGCTCCGGGATTACCTGAGCTTTGGAGGCCGGCGACCCCCTCCGCAGCCGCCCACCCCTGACTACTCGGAGAGCGACATCCTGAGAGCTTACCGGGAGCAGAAGGATCTAGACTTCGAAGACCCCTACGGAGACGCGGAAAACCGGCAGGAGCCGGACCTCGCCACCTCCGGGGACCTCAAGGGCCCCGGGGATGCCAAGTACGATTCTCCCAAGCATCGGCTCATCAAGGTGGAGGCTGCAGACATGGCCAAGGCCAAGGCCTTGCTGGGCAGCTCGGAGGAGGAGGTGCGTGACTGAGGCTGGGTGGCTCGGGGAGCCTGGCTGGGGATGGCTGGGCTGGGTCCCCAAAATTTGGGGAGCTTATTTCACGTGGAGCCCCAGGGGCAGCCCAACTCTGTCCTGCACTTACTTGGGGAAATTTCATTTTCTCTTCCTTTTCTGGAGCTCTGGTGGCTTAGAGGTAAAGAGTTGTGCTGCCAGCACAAAGGTAGGTGGTTCAAATCCACCAGCTGCTCCATGGGAGCCGCAGACAATCTCCTCCCATGAGATTAACTGCTTTTGAACAGAGGCTGGAGGGTCAGCTGTGGGCCGGTTCCTCGAGGGCACACAACAACAGTCCCTTTTCGGGAGTCCTGACGGTCCTTTAGCACTGGGCTGCTAACTGGAAGGTCAGCAGTTGAAATCCACCACTGCCCTGAAGGAGGACGCGGAGGTGGTCTCTTCTGGTTGAGGTTTACAGCCTTGGGAACCAGGTGCAGGGTCGGTGTGAGGGGAAACTGACTCAACAGCTGTGCACTTGGTGGCTTGGTGCTTTATTAAAGCATTCAGCTGCTGACCAAGAGGCCGGGGTTTGGGCCCCTCAACTGCTCTGAGAGGGAAATCCCTGGAAGTTTCCTTCCCTAAAGATTACAGCCTTGAAGACTTGATGGCCATGGTTTGGGTTTGTGTTCTCTCAGTGCCTGGTCCCGGGAATCTCCCCACTTTTCTGCTTTGCCCCCTCGCCTCCTGCTCCCTGGTCCTCACAATGGGGCATGGGTGTCAGAGGCCGTGAGGTTGGCTCAGGATAGAGCAAGGTTCCAAGCAGTTGTTCCCAGATGGTCATGGTCATGGTCATGGCCATGGTCATGGTCAACTGCAGCACACGCCACCATCACCACCACCACACTGGGCCTGAGCCTCCTCTTCCCCTCTTTCTCCTAGCAGCTGACAGTTCTTCCTAAAACAGATCTCAAGGAATTAGTGTCCTACTTGCCTCTTTAAGATCTTCGGCATTGCTTTTTGCTTTGCTGCCTGGGTAGCACAAACTGTTTAGTGCCCAACTACTGGCCAGAAGGCTGATAGTTGGAACTCTCTCTCCCAGAAGCACATCATTAGAAAGGCCTGGTAACCTGCTTCCAGGAGGTCACAGCCCTGCAAACCACATGGAGCAGTTCTGCTCAGCTTGTGTGGGCTTAGTTGAAATTGACTCAGTGTTAGCAGCACTCCTTCCCCTTCCAGCTGCTAGTATTCCCATTTTACAGAGGTGGAAACAGAGGCACAGTGGAGAGCAGTAATTCGCCCAGGCCACACGGCTCTAGCCGGTTAGGCCTGGACCCCAGAGCTGACCCTCATGCTTTTTCACCATTATCTTCCTGGAGGACCAGGGAGTCACCCCAAAACCTCAACAGAGGCAGGAGTGGGAGGGCTACAAGGGGCTGGTAGGCAGTGGTGATCGGTGGAATTCTTGCCTTCCATGTGGGAGATTGGAGTTCGATTCCCAGTCAGTACACTTGAAGTGCTGTCGCCACCTGTCCACCAGGAGGCCTGCATCTTGTTATGAGGCAGAATGGTTTTCAGGAAAGCATCTGCACTAAAAGGAACTAGGAAGAAAGGCCTGGCAACCAGCTTCTTAAAGTCAGCCAAGGAAACACTAGTTTGGTCCACTACTGGCCATGGGGCTGATTCAAGAAGAGAAAGTGGGGAGGGCAGGGTCCTCTGACTTGGGGATTACCTGACAGCAGCAAACAACAATAACAAGGAGAGAGGTGCCAAGTCGTGGTTAAGAGCACAGAACAAAAGAAAGAAGGCAGGAGGGGCTCCGAGCAGCCAGAAAGTCTAGAATTAAATCCTGTCTCCACTTAACAGCTGTGTGACCTTGGGCAAGTCACTTAACCTCTCTGGGCCTCAGTTCCCTCCTATATGAAAATGGTCATAATGTCTTCACGGAGCGCTGTCAGCCCACGTGAATCCACAGGGAGTATTTAGAACCGTGGGGGTAGGCACGCAATGGACGCACTGCTTGGTCGTAAAAGGTGGGACGCGTCTGGGAGAACGAGGATGGAGGGGGAGAAAAGAGGAAGCGGCCTTGGCGGGAGGGGGAGACTCACTCTTCAGTGTGGCCTTTGGAGCACCTCATCCCCACGATTCCAGGTTTTTGTGGGTGCCCCCTGGCAGCTGAGCTCTTGCCCACTGCACCGCACCGTCAGGGCTCCTTAGGGAAGACTCGATTATTGTTGTGGACTGCTGAGCTGGAACCAGCTCACAGCTGACCCTTCAGCAGGTTTTTACAGGCAGAAAATCACATGGGAGGAGAGTGGCCATCTTTCTCCCGTGGGCAGCTGGTAGATTTGAACCCTGTGCCTTTGGGCTGGTTGGTAGCTCAGCTCCTTACCTCTAAGCTCCCTAAAATGAACCGGTAGGAGGAGTTATGTGAGATGGCCTAGTAGGGTACCATCACCCAGCAGGGGTGACCAGAGCTGGGCCTGGCTCCCTGAGCCCTTGTCCCTCTTCCTCTCTTCCCAGCTGGAAGCTGATGCCGAGTATTCAGATCCTTTTGATGCCCAGCCTCACCCACCACCCCCAGATGACGGTTACATGGAGCCCTACGAGGCCCAGCGGGTCATAAGCGGTGAGAGGCAGGGCATGGAGGGAGGTGACGGAGTTGGGGGTTGGAGGGAGCAGAGCTGACCCTGTCCTGGGCCCCACAGAACTGGCCGGCAGGGCACTGCAGCTGTATGACACTCCCTACGAGGAGCAAGCCCAGGAGCCAGAGGACGGGCCCCCTTCTGGGGGCCAGAAACCTCAACAGAGCCGCCTACCCCGGGAAGACGAGCGGCCTGCGGACGAGTACGACCAGCCCTGGGAGTGGAAAAAAGACCACATCTCCAGGGCCTTTGCAGGTGCTTCTCTGCCCCAGATTGTGACCCCTGAGGCACTCACCCCTCCCATCTTGTATGGTTGTCTCCTCTGTCTCCACCACAAAACAGAGCTCAACTCCCTGGGACTTGGGGTGGTTGGGTTTGTACTGTGTGTTGGGTTTCCCCTCGCCCAATTCTCACTAAAGTGTGAATGACTGATGGTCATCATCTCCTTTCCCTGGAGAACCCACACCATCTTCTTTGGGAGCTGAAACACCCCTTGGGATGAAGACTTTCTGCTCACTAGGGACAACGATAGGAAGGTGGAGCTGGTGTCATACTCGGCCTGGCTTGGGACTCTTCCTTGGCAAGTCACTTGATCTGAGTCTTAGTTTTCTTATCTGCAAAGTGGGGATTGTTGAAATAAGTCCTGACCAAGGCACTTGCAGACTGCATGCTAGGAAGTGCTCGCTTACCCGGGCGCTGTGGCCGACAGCAGGGGACAGCAGCCTTGGTAGCTCTGGGTCCATTCTGAGCAGCTTCAGAAAGCCTCTAATCTGTTTCCTCTTCCATAAAAGGAGTGATCATCAAGCCAGGAGACCACGGCCACCACAGTCAGTTTTGACGCGCAGCGACCCTGCCACACAGAGTAGGAAGGCCCCATAGGCTCCTGAGGGAAGCAGGCGGCCTCATGCATTTCCCCTGCAGTGGCTGTTGTGTTTGAAACTCTCATCTTTAGGTTGACAGCCTAATGCTTTGAGTACTCACCATCAGGACTCCTCAATAGCTCAGTCTGGAAGAGTTGGGTGAACTTGAGTTTGACCCAGGGCCTCTGGATCTCAGTCTGCCCATCAAAAATTTTCTACCTCTACTCGTGAGCTCTGGTGAGTTATTGTTAGGTGCCATCGAGTGGACTCAGTGACCCTATTAACAAAAGATCTGAATTGTGTTCTGTCCTGTGCCATCCTCACATTTCCTGACACACAAGAGCCCACTGCAGCAGTCACTGTATCACTTCCTCTAGTTGAGGGTCTTCTTCTCCTTGGCTGACTCTCCCAGCATCATGTCCTTCTCCAAGGAATAGCCCTCCTAGCAACATGCCCAAAGTATGTGAGGCCAAGTCTCATCATTCTTGCCTCCAAAGAGCACTCCGGCTGCACCCTCTCCAGGATATATCTGTTGTTCTCTTGGCCATCCATGGGATGGTCAGGGCTCTTCTCCAACACCACAGCTCAAAGGCATCAATGGAATTGCACTACCAACATAAAGGTACTTGGTTTGAATCCACCAGCTGCTCTGAAGGAGAAGAATGGGCAGTCTCCTCCTTTGTGATTCACTGCCTCAGAAAACCACCTGGAGGGTCAGCAATGAATTGGTTCCAACTTGAAGGTACTCAACAATAACAACTAGTGGGGCTAGGGAGCTCTGGCAGCTTAGTGGTAAGGAATTGTGCTGCCAACCTAAAGGTATGTGGTTCAAATCCACCAGGTGCTGCATGGGAGAAAGATGGGCAACCTCCTGCCTCTGAAAACCACCTGAAGAGTCAGCTATGAGGTGGTTCCAACTCTATTGGGCCTGGGAGTCCTGACCTCCTACCTACCTCCTGTAGCCCCACCCATATACTCTCTGATTTATCATGATGTGACTTGACCCGGCTAGACCCTTTCTTCTGTACTCTGATTGGCTATCCCAAGAGGTATAGCTGAAATGTCATTTCTGCCCTCATAAGGTTTCTTCTTATTGTTGTTATGTGATCTTGACTCCTTGGAACAACAGCTCTGAACCCTGCTCTATCCTGATCCAATTTCATCTCTCTGATACGCCCACTCCCATTACCCCCATCACTGAGTCAATTCATTTCATGTGGGGTCTTCTTATCCCATGCTGTCCCTCCACCCTTCCAAGCCTGATGCCTCTCTCTCCAAGGACTGGTCCCTCCTGACCTCGTAGGTGCCCAAAGTATGTGAAATGGAGCGCCAAGCTTCAAAATCCTTGCCTCCAAAGAGTAACCTGGTTTCACCTTCCCCAGGATGGACCTGTTTGTTTGGATTTAACCCTTTCCTCCCTAACCTCCCTTGCAGTGCAGTTTGACAGTCCTGAGTGGGAAAGGACCCCAGGCCTGGCCAAGGAGCTCCGGAGACCCCCACCCAGGAGCCCGCAGCCCGCAGAGCGTGTGGACCCGTCCTTGCCTCTGGAGAAACAGCCGTAAGTGGGAGACAGGGACGGCCGGGCTTGTGGAGGAGCCCAGTCTGGCTGTAGAATCCTTCTCAGAGAAAAGAAAGTTTCTCCCCTCCTGAGAACTTGGATTCATTCATTAAGTCATTTATTCAACTCCTCTTCATTGAGGGCCAGTACCTCTGTGTCAGGTGCAGAAAGGGGGGGGGGAAAGTCATTGTGAGTTTAGTGAAAGTTTACAGAAAGATTGGGTTTTCATTCATTCATCCATATATATTTTCCTCCCTACCCTCTCCCACAGTTTGTTATGATCCACACAGTCAAACACCTTTGCATAATCAATGAAACACAGATAGACATTCTTCCAGTATTTCTTGCTTTCAGCTAAGATCCATCTAACATCAGCTACAATATCCCTAGTACCAGGTATGGATCATAACAAACTGTGGCTGACTCTGAGAAGAATGGGAACCCTAGGACACTTGATCGTGCTAATGCGAAACCAACACTTGGACCAAGAGGCAGTCATTAGAACAGAGCAGGGTAACACTGCATGGTTCAAAATTGGGAAGGGTATACGCCAGGGATGTGTCCCGTCTCCATACCTTTTCAACCTGTATGCAGAGCAGATTATTTGGGAGGCTGGGCTCTATGAGGAGAATTGTGGCATCAGGATTGGTGGAAGATCTATTAACAGTCTGCGTTATGCAGATGATACAACCCTGCTTGCTGAAACTGAGGAGGACCTCATGCACTTGCTGCAGAGAGTCAAGGACTACAGCCTTCAGTATGGACTGAGGCTCAATGTCAAGAAGACAAAGATTCTTACCACTGGACCAATTGGTAGTATCAGGATGGATGGCGAAGAGATTGAGATTGAGATTGTTCACAGCTTCAGTTTGCTCGGCTCCATGGTCAACACTCTTGGCACCAGCATCCAGGAAATCAAAAAATGTATTGCGATGGGAAAGTCTGCTGTTAGAGACCTCTTCAGGGTACTGAAGAGCAATGGTGTCACTCTGGAGACTAAGGTGTGTCTGATACAGGCTATGTGGTCTTTGCAATCACTTGTTATGCATCAGAGAGTTGGAAAATTACTAAGGAGGATAGAAGGAGAATTGATGCCTTGGAGCTGTGGTGCTGAAGAAGAGTATTGAATGTTCCATGAACTGCCAAGAAAACAAACAGATTCATCTTGGAGAGGGTTAAAGTAGGCTGCTCCTTGGAGGCAAGGATTCTGAGGCTTTGTCTGACATACTTTGGACATGTTGTAAGGAGGGAGAGGTCCTTGGAGAGGGACATCATGCTTGGGAGGATGGAAGGACGGCGCAGAAGGGCAAGACCCTCTATGAGGTAGATTGATTCAGTGACTGGGGTAATCAGGATGGGTGTGTCAGAGGCAATGCGATTGGCATAGGATAGAGCAGGGTTTAGGGCTGTTGTACATAGGGTCGCTATGAGTCGCAAGTGATTCGACAGCACATAACAACAACCCTCTCCCAAGTCACTTAAGGCAAAAACCGATTAATGGTATCAGGCAATGGGTTCAAATCCTTGTCTTTGAGGTGCCATCTGCTCTTTGTATAACTCAGAAATGATTGAATGCACAACCCTCCTAAGGCAATAAACACCCCATCAGAGTAGGGTCTTCCCCTCCCCCAGACATATGGGTGTGCATGGCTGGTCCTTTCTCCTTGCAGCCAGCCTGGACAGAGAGGAACTGCCCACAGGGTTTTCTAAGCTTTTCTAAGAAGGTTTAGAAAACCTTCTAAGGTTTTCTGATCTTTCCAGGGGCCAGGTCGCCAAGTCTTTCTCCTGACAAGGTGCTGGGTGGATTTGAACTGCTGGCTTTTCTGTTAGCAGCTGAGCACTCTATCATTGCACTACCAGCACTCCTTTCCATATAGCTACAGAGGGTTGGGAGATACACACACATACACACTCACACACACTTGCATGTGCATGTGCGTGCGCTCCAATCCATTACAAGCAAGGCTTGGGACCTGAGAGCAAAAAGAAATAATTTTGACCCCCAAGAGGCTTTGGGATGGGGCTAGGAGAGGCTTTGGGGAGAAGGAGGCCCCAAGTTTGGGCTGAGTTGGGAAGCACAGGCCAGGAGGTGTAGTTCTCCTCTGGGTGCCCTCAGCTTGGGGACTTCTCTGCACCCCTCCCAGGCACCTGGCGTGTTCATCATTGATCCCAAACCTCTTAGGTGGGAGAGAAATAGATTTGTGGTTGCTGAACATCAAGATAGAACAGGTGATTCACACCTCTTAGGAAAACCAGTAGACAGGCCTCTGGGGATTCTGTCTTAACAGAGCCCTGGTGGTGCTGGGGTTGAGACAGCGCGCTGCTAACTGAAAGGTAAGCGGTGCGAACGCACACACCCCCCTCCCAGCTGCTCAAGGGAGAAGGATGAGGCAGTTGGTGTCTGGAAAGCAGGCGGGGCAGCTCTGCTCTGTCCTCCAGGGTTCCCGTCAGTCGGGATCCACTTCACGGCAGAGGCCTGTCCTTAACATCTCACACCAAGCTGCTCACCTCGAGCATGAGTGAGCTCCCCATCACTGGATGTATGCAAGGAAAAGAGTAATGGCGTAGGCAGCGGGCTTGGACATGCAGAACCTGTGAGCGTGATCATGCAAGCTGTTGTTGGGGATGGTGCTATCAGCACCCACTCTCAGCGACCCCCTGACCAACAGAAGGAAACCCACCTTGGGCTCCAGCCGCACCGTCCCTGCTGTGTGGAGCCCATTGCTGCAGCCACTGTCAGTCCTCATGAGGGTCTTGCTCTTTGACCCTCTGCCTAGCAAGCATGAGCTATATCTCCAGGGATTGGAGGTCAGGGGTTCTTTCCAGCAAAGTGGAAGCAGCAGCTCCACCTTCACCGGAGAGAGGGGGAATCAGAGCTGCGGGGGACCAGGCTCTTCTGGGGAAGCGCCAGTGGCTTCCCCCAACCTGTGCGCACGGGGGTCGCCTGCCGGGTTCCAGCCCAGTCTAAAGGGGCGTCCTCTCTTATCCCCTAGGTGGTTCCACGGCCTGCTGAGCAGAGCAGATGCGGAGAATCTGCTGTCCCTTTGCAAGGAAGGCAGCTACCTCGTGCGGCTCAGCGAGACCAGCCCCCAGGACCCCTCGCTGTCCCTCAGGTGAGACCTCCAAGCTGGGAGGGACAGGGGGCCCTAGGGCTGCAGGTGTCACAATTCCAGGTTAATCCATGGAAACTGGGGCCAGATTTATGACCAAATGTCTGGACATTGGAACCAGTGGGTGAGATTTTGTAGAATAGTGGGGGGGTGCTTCTGAGTTGGGGGTGCCCTTCCAGGGCCAGTGGGTGAGGCTTTCCGGGGCCAATGAGTGGAGGTTTAGAAGCGAGTGAGCGATACTTTCAGACCAAGGGGCAGAGGAAGCACTGTCATGATTGTAATTAGTAATGAGCTCCCCATCACTGGAGGTATGTAACATGATGGAATGGCAGTAATACAGGAAATGCAGGACTTGAATAAGAAATAAACTAAGCATCCCAGGTTCCTCTGGACTTCCTAAACTCATTAGACTCACAGCTGACCCCACAAGTGGGTCTTCAGAGACTAAATAGCACAGGAGGAGATTACCCATGTGTATGTTGTTAGCTGCATTACAAGCCATTTTGGTCCCACATGACAGAGACAAACTCCTCCATTGTTTTCAAAGCAAATGACCTTTTGGCAGTGGATTGCCAGGCCTTTCTTCGGAAGCAGCGCTGGCTGACTTTGACCTAGCAACCTTCAGGCTGGTTGTTGAGTGCCTAACTGTTTCCAATCCCTCGAAGCTAGTGGCAGACAGATCCTGGCCCCAGGGGGTTTTGGGTGGAGCCCTCTGGGTGCTCAGAGCCCCCCTCATCCTGTGTCCCCCTCCCAGGAGCAGCCAGGGCTTCCTGCATCTGAAGTTCGCCAGGACGCGTGAGAACCAGGTGGTGCTGGGCCAGCACAGCGGCCCCTTCCCCAACGTGCCCGAGCTGGTCCTCCACTATAGCTCACGCCCACTGCCCGTGCAGGGCGCTGAGCACCTGGCCCTGTTATACCCGGTCACCACGCTGACCTCCTGACCAGCCACAGCCGGACTGGCTCTCTGGGCCACCTTCTGCCCCCTTCTGGATTCTGGAGCCCACAACACTGTCTCAAAATAAAAGATAATATCGCCTCTGTGTGTCCTTGCTGGGCAACAGGAAGGGACGGTGGTCCTTTGACCCCAGTACGGCCTGTGTCCCTCTGTCCCCATCTGTGAGCTGGCCATGGGGGTGGGTTTGAACGTTCACACAGTTGGACACTCTTTCAGCTACGGATGCAAAGGGCTTCCTGGCTGCTGGGTTTGGGGACAAAGCTGGGTAGGAGGAGGGGCTGGCGCCAGGGACAGTGGCTTGAAAACCAGGGCAGATACAGAGAGGGGGAGACCCATGGCTGAGGCGCTCAGGCCAGCCCCACCCCCACCCACCCCTCCTCTAAGCCAGGCTGCAGCAGCAGAAAGGACATCTGTCCCCATGGAAACAGCAGAGGTGGGGGAGGGGAGCAGGATCCAGCTGGTGTCACTGCAAGGTGACCGTGAGGCAGCTGACCCCGGGGCTGGTGAGTATCAGGGAGGCGCTGACCTCCTCCATCCCAGGCCCACCTGGAGGAGACGTCAGCGGGGGAAGAGGGTTCGAGCCAGGGGCATGGGTGGGCGGCTGCACTGCTGCTCTTTGCTCTTTGGATGTGTCCTTGCACAGACTGGCAGGTCGTCACAGAACCCCTTAGTGACAGAGGACAGCTGTTTCTGGAGATCTGGACCCGCTGGCCCTCCTGTCTCTGTGGTTCACTGCCAGGCCATGAACAGGACAGACACAGGACACAGGTCCCGTCCAAAGGGGCAGATGGGTATCAACAAAGTCACAGCCAGATAGACTGCATAACTGCTCAGCTGCTAACCCCAGGGTTGGCTGTTCAAGCATGGCATCTCCATGGGAGAAAAGACCTGGTACCCTGCTCCCATAAGGATGGCAGCCTGGGAAACCCTATGAGGCAGCTCTCTGTCCTGTAAGGTCGATGTGGCTCAAGGAGGGACAATCAAGGTCTCATGATCTGTGCTGAGTGCTCTGAGGGAGAATAAAGCGAAAGCACACTGAGAGGGCTCACCTAGTCTACAATCCAGGAGAGCTTCCTGGAGAAAGAGACCTGACCACCCTCCCCTGCCCAGACTTCCAATTGCCAAATCTGTCTCTACGTCCCCAGGGTCCTGGCTTGGCTCAGCGTCACCCTAAGCACCGCTATCACTGTTAGCTTCTGCAGGTCAGTCCCCAACTGACATTCACAACAGACCGCCCCACCCCCAAGATTTTGATAGTAGATTGAACTACTATGAACCATAGGATTTTCACAGACTGCTGTGTGAAAGTCGATCTCCAGGCCTTTCTTCCTAGTGCTTTTCAATCCAACAGGTGGCTGTGTACCACCTAGACTAGAATCTGCATCTCCAGCATGAAGAGCAAGAATTCAGCCACCTGGCTGCCACGCAGACATGACCTCAGCCTTTGCTTTCTTCATCAGATTTTATTAAGAGCGTTCTGCTGTGGGGGGGTCAGCACTTACATCTCCAAGTAGCCTGAGTCACTGATGGAAGCCCTCTTGCATCCCTTGGGAGAGGACTCCCCTTCTTATTCCAGGGGACCCTCTCAGCCTCGGGGCCTCCAAGAAACTTGGGCTGGGAGAGACTTTGATCACGGAGATGGAATAGCTGGACTTTGGGCTGGAGCAAGGCTTTGGGGGAAGAGGTGGTGGTGGAGTGGAGGCGCGTGGTGGTGGGGTGAAGGGCAGACGCGGTGAAGAGGTGATTGGCAGGGGGAAGGACGTCGAATAGAAGCTCTCGGTTTTCTGGTTCGCCCTGGGTGGGTCCAGCACCTTCCCTTCCCCAGGACTGGCCTCGGGTTTCTTTGGGGTCCCCCGGGAACGGTACAGGACGTTGCTATACAAAGGACTTCCTGGCAGATGGGGCAGGGGGAGGCGATATAGGTCAAAAGGAGGCACTCAAGAGATTTGCTGTGGAAAAGACTGGATGCAAAGGACATCGCCTCCCTGCCCTGCCCCCTCCCTAGAACTGGTACCCTGGCGGAGGAGGGGGAAACTAGTCCTCGTCCAGCGTCTGCAGTTACCATCACCGCCACGAGGGGCGGGGTCGCCAGCAGATGGGACTTCCCTGGTTACCTGACTCCCTGCTTCTGCAGCGGCTACAGCCCCAAATCCCAAGCCACAGCCCAACAGCAATCACAAACACGCCCCCCACAACCAGCAGCGCCACCAGGAATCCTGTGGGGAAACAGGGGCTTCCTGAGAGAGAGTACCTGGCGTGGGGGCGGGGCTGGGAGAGGGCCATGCATGCGGGACTCACCTGGAATGCTGGAGGCAGAGGTCCCCCTGGGGAGAGCTGCAGAGAAGAAATATTGGTCTTGGTGGTGTCTCCCTTGGAGTCCAGCCTCCTGCATCCTCCAGCGTCTGAGTCTTAACGGTTTTCCATATAGGAAAATGTCATGTGCCACTGAGAGGCTTGCGACCCATATATGTACAGCAGCTCTGAACCCTGCCCTGGCGTTAGCCAGTCTCACTGACTCTGACACACCAACCCCCATCGCCCCAGTTACTGTATCAATCCTTCTCACCCGGGGTCTTCCTCTCCTGCGCTGTCCCTCCACCCTTCCGAGCATGATGTCCTTTTCCAAGGACCAGTCCTTCCTGGCCATGTGCCCAAAATATGTCAGACAGAGCTTCAGAATCCTGCCTCCCAGGAGCAGCCTCTGCTGTTCTGTGTGACTTCGAGAAGCAGGTGTTCTCTCTCACCTTTGGTCTCCTCTTCTGATAAATATCCCTATCTTGCTGGGTTCTTTATTGTAAATTAACTACTGGGTACATTTTTTTTTTCATCATGGGCCCCACTATCCTCACCCCAAACTCCACAATCTTATAATCTGTTATCTGGTGCTGCTGTAACTGAAATGTCACAAATGGACCGCATAGCAAGTGAAACTATTTTTCTCTTCACAGGTGGTTTGGGGGGGGGGGGGGGTTTTTTTTTTTTTTTTACAAATCAAATTAACAAGCCATCGTCGCTGTGGAATCAGAACCAACTCATAGCTGACCTTCCAAAGGGTTCCTGAGGCTGGAAGGCCCACAGGAGGCAGCTGCTCGTCTTTCTCCCACAAAGAAGCTGGTGGGTTGGACCTGCTGCGGACGGGCAGCCCCTGGGTGAGCACCACGCTCTGCGGGCCAGGGCACTGGAGCTCCAAGCTTGGGGCGCTAAGGAAAGCTCCCTCTGTCAGCTCTGGAGCAAAGCTGTGTCCCTTCTGAGTTCCTGCTCCTGGGTGACCCTCATTTGGTTTTGGCATCTCTCTTCCCCTCTTTCTGCCTCGCTTGCTTAATTTTTTATTTATTTATTTACATCTCAAAAGAGATTAGACTTAAAACACATCCAGCACTAATTCAGTCTCGTTAACATGACAAAGAAGACCCATTCCCAAAAGGGATTATAACTCTATGTAGGAATTAGGGTTTGCCAGGCATACTAAGAAGGGACCCAGTTCAATTCCTAATAGTCATCTTTTGGCTTTACATTTTCTTTTTTTTTTAACAATAATTTTATTTTATTTTATTATTTTGTGTGTGTACCGTCAAATCGGATCTGACTGGTACAGGAGGAGATAATCCCTCCTTCTCCAGCAGAGCATGGCTTTACATTTTCCATCATGAGTCCCAACATTCCATCTGCAAGTTCCATCATCCTTGTCACAAACCCATCAAACATCTAATGAGATCCATCATCTCACTTATGAGTCCCATCACCTCCACCATGAGCCCCAGGATCGTTACCTGACACCATCATCCCCCATGAGCCTACCTTCCCCACCATGAGCTCCACAGTCCCAACCACAAGTCTTTCATCCCTCCTGAGCACCTCCATCCCCACCATCACCATCATCATGAACCAACCATCCCTGCCATAAGCCCATAGACTACCATGACCTCTACCATGAACCCATCATCCCGCCACGAGCTCCAGTATTCCCACCATGAGTTCCTCAATCCCTACCATGAACTTTATCATCACCAGTAGGGGCCCACCATCCCCAGCATGAGCCCATCATCCTTCATAAGCTCTTCCATCCCCACCATGAGTCCATCATTCTTCATAAGCTCTTCCAATCCTACCATGAGCCCCACCATCTCCATTATTAATTATTCCATCTCTACCATGCACCCATCAATCTCACCATGAGCTCCACTATCCCTATTATGAGTCTCATCATGGGTCCTTCATCCCTCAGGAGCACCTCCATGTGCTCCATCACCACCAACATGAGCCTATCATGTCCCATGAGCTAAACCACGTTTCCATGAACCAGCGCACGATCACGCCCATGAGCTCCATCATCTCCCGTAAGCGCCTCCATTGCCATCATGAGCTAGTCCATCCCCACAATGAACCCATTATCCTGTGATGAGCCATGCCGTTCCCACCAAGAGCCCCCTCATCCTTACCATTATTCCTACCATGAGCTTCTTCATCCCTACTATGAGTTGATCATCTGCCATGAGCTCCTCCATCACCATCATCAATTCCTCCATCCCCACCATCAGCTCCACCATCCCCACCATGAGCCTATACCCCTTCATGACTCCATTCTCCTCATGAGCTCCACCATCCCATTATGAGCCCCACTATGAGTCTTATCATCTTCCATGAGCTACATCAACCTCCCCATCATAAACTCCTCCATCCCCATCATGAGCCCTCCTATGAACCTATCATCCTACCATGAGCCCCTCTATCCCCACATGTTCTCTCCTTCATCCTCATATGGGCTCCACCATCCCCACTATGAGCCTTACCATGAGCTACATCAACCTCCCCATCATAAACTCCTCCATCCCCATCATGAGCCCTACTATGGACCTATCACACTACCATGATCTCCTGCATCCCCGTATGGGCCCCACCATCCCCATCACAAGCTCATCATCCTCCACAAGCTCCATCATCCCAGTCATGAGACCTACCATTCCCCATGAGCCCATCATCCCTACCATCAACTCCACCGTGCTCACTGTGAACTCTGCTATCCCCACCATGAACTCTGTGATCCCCTCCATAAGCTAATCAGCTGTCATGAGCTCCATCACGCCCACCATGAACTCCTCCATCCCAACCATGAACTCCTCCATTTCCACCATTAGCTGCTCCATCCCCATCATGAACCCACCATCACCACCATGAACCTATCATTCCTATTATGAGTTCCATTATCACCACCATGAACTCTATGATCCCCACCATAAGATAATCAATCAGCTGTCATGAGCTCCATCACGCCCACCTTGAACTCCTCCATCCCAACCATGAACTCTTCCACCTCCACCATTAGCTCCTCCATCCCCATCATGAATCCACCATCACCACCATGAGCCCATCATTCCTATTATGAGCTCCATTATCCCCACCATGAGCTCTTTCATTCCCACCATCCCCACCTGGAGCTACTCCATCCCTCAGTGAGCCCCACCATCTCTATCATGAGTTCTTCATACCCCAGGAGCTCCACCACCCCCACCATTGGCCTCCATCTCCACTATAAGCCCATAACCCCAGTCATTACCCCAGCCCCATCATTCCCACCATGAGTCCCACCATCACCTCTGTGAGCCCCACCACAATCTCCACGATCCCCATTGTGAGCCCCACCATTCCTACTATGAGCTCCATACCTCTACTGTGAGCCCCACCGTTAGCTTCACCGCATTCATCACCATCCCCACCATGAGTTCTACCATGAGCTCCACTATACCCACCAGGAACTCAACCATTTCTGCCATGACCCTATTAGCCACCCTGAGCCCATAATCCCTATCACCAGCTCCACCTCACCATGAGCTCCCTCACTCTTGAGTTCCTCTCTCCCCATCTTGGGCTGCAGTATACTCATGACCCCTATTTATTGTTTCTAAACTGCATCAAACCCATCCTACAGTCAGGGAAATTGAGGCAAATATCACCTAAGCCACTTCTCTGGCCTCACACCCCTTGGCAGAAGTAGAGGCCATCTTCAAACCAAGACCTTGCTCATCTCAGTCCTCCATTCCTCCCCTGCTTCAGAAATAGGGCAGACAGAATGTCACGGATTGAAATGTGTCCCTCACAAATACATACATGCAATGACATAATGTAGAAGCAATGAAAAGATCCACCATCCTCCAATAAATCAAGCTGATGGAAGGAAGTTTCCTTAGGGTGTGGCCTATCACAGCTCTGGTGGCCTAGTGGCAAGAAGCTGCACTGCAATTCTGAAGGCATGCAGTTTGAGGCCACCAGCAACTCCATGGGAGGAAAAGGATGGGCAATCTCCTTCCGTGTGATTAACTGCCTCTGAAAACCCACCGGAGGGTCAGCCATGGGTCGTTTCCAACTCTACAGCACACAATAACAACATACAAGGGGAAGAAAGTGAGATAAGAGATATGATCTCGGTACCACCAAGAGTTACCAGGAAAGGAGCACATCCTTTTGGATTTGGATCTCTGTACAAGGAAGCTAGCTGACAGGGAAGGCCAGGGCCCATCCCCAAGGAACGCCTACAGATGCTAAAGGCAACCAGGACTTTCCACCAGAACCGACAGAGAGCAGGCCTGCCCCTAGAGCTGGCTCCCTGAATTCAGATCTCTTGGTTCCTAAATAGTAAGAAAATGAACATCTATTTGGCAAAGTCTCCCTTGAGGTCTCTCTTATACAGGTCGCCATTGTTGTTGGGTGTCATCAAGTACAACACATAACGCCCCTATGAACAACAGATCGGAACCCTGCCCTGTCCTGTGTCGTCCTCACAATCTCTGACACTCAAGCCCATTGCAGCAGTCACTGTGTCAGTCCACCTGCTTGAGGGTCTTCCGTTCTTTAGCTGACTCTCTCTGCTTTCCCAAGTATGGTTTCTCTCTCCAAAGAACAGCCTATCCTAGCAACATGCCTCTACTCTTCACAGAGTTTTGAGCTGTCTGGCCAATGGATAGGAAGAGGTCCGTATTTGTTCCCATGCCCAAGAAAAGTGATAGAACAGAATGTGGAAACTGTCAAACAATATCATTAATAGCACATGCAAGCAAAATACCACTGAAGATCATTCAAAAACAGTGCATAGATAAGGAACTTCCAGAAGTTCAAGCAGGGTTTAGAAGATGCCATGGCAGCAGGGATAGCATTGGTGATGTCAGACAGATCCTAGCTGAAAGTTAAGAATACCAGAAGAATGTCTGTTTATGCTTTAGCT